TGTCTGGAATTCTCGTAAAGATCCATAAAATCCTGTCCTCTGGGCAAAGGATAGAAGTAAAAATAATTAATAAAAAAATAAAAAAATAAAAAAGCCATACTGGGGTAGCTTGGCGTGGGCATTTGACGTGTAGCCTCGGTATTGATGTTTTTTAGTACATGTCGAGAGATATCAACGAGGCGAGGCACCTTGACCGGTCGCCGCATTTGGAGAGTCGAGACACCGGTGAGGGTTTGCTACAGCTGAGAGTGAGCGGTAGAATTGAGTTATCATTATCGGCGAATTTAGTACTTGGCCGTAATAGTAAGGTTCTATAGCTTATGATATCTTTGCTTTTTCCGCTGTCGCCCTGAGTCTATGTATGTGGTTGGGTGGGGGGCTACGGAGGGGGGAGTACGGAGTATTATCTACGATGATCTGTGACATGGGATTCTTAGCTCTGAGCTACAGTAGCTAGTTCGAGGCACGCGGCATGCGAGAGTGCGGCATATCGAAAAGGGATGCACATAGCTACAGCGGGAAAAGATCTGCTAAGCAGAAGGGAACGAAAGTGTCTCTGAGAAATGAGATTGTCGAACGGCGATGTGATCATGTGAGCGCTAGACCAAGACAGACACTACACACATACATGCATGCATACATAGTTACAGGAGAGACAGAGACAAAGAGAGACAAAGATAAAGATACACCCAAAGAGGGAGATGGCCGATTCCGAATCCGATGTTGTTGTCGATGCCGATGCCGATCCGAACGCGAATCTGACATGTATCGGGGCCGAGGCGGTTTGAGTTGAGATCCCGCGCCGGGTCCGGATCCGGAGGCCGGAGGATCAGACAAACTAACAAGATCAGGCATGATCAGGCATGATCAGTCAAGTCAAGTCGAGACAGGCCAAGAAAGACAAAGACAGCATGCATAGCTCGGTTGGTCACAGCAGCAGGTTTGTTTGGCATGAGTTGTAGATAGATAGACATGTTGACCATGCATCAACTGACTCGTCCATTCTCACCCTAGCGATCAGCAACCTGTACACAACGACAGAGGGCTGAGGAAGTGATTGATTAGATAGATAGCTGCGGATAGACGCCCCCGAAATGACAATAAAAAATAAAAAATAATGTACTGTACTGTACATACATACATCTTTTTTTCTCGTATCCCTGTCTCGAAACTAGTGATGCGACTAGAGGTTAGCATTAACGGTGACCAACAGAATCTACAGCAGGGGATAGCATGTATTGGATCGTACGGTAATCTTTCCGCACGGGACGGGGCTGAGTTTAGTGAGCTGATGAGATGCAAGGATTCGGTGATGTACGGAGTACATACTTGTGTATTGCATAGATCAGCAGTACTGTGACTGTTATGTGATAGTCTTGAGCAAATACAAAGACATTAATTACATTTCACCCATATGATAGATATGGTATGATATGATATGTTTTTAATGCAACAACAACAACAAGAACAACAACCACCACCACCACCACCACCACCAATATGGATCCTCTTGACGAGGAGATATACTAGCCAATAACGATAAATTACCATGTCTCACAACCAAGGCCTACCCTACCTGCTAACTGACTATACCTAGGTAGTGAAGCCATCAACTCCATGGAAGTACATATATGTACACACGCCCTGCTGAAGCTGCACTTGCAATTGCCGAAGCACGCCGCCATTCCAAACTGGGCGTTGCGTTGCGTAGCGTTGCTCTCAGACATCCAAGGCTCGATCTCCAAACAGATCTTGCCTTGGCCGGATCGAAAAAATTGACCAGTCGTTCCATTAGCTTGGTGCATAGCGGAACAGCTCAAGTCGAGCCAAGCTACCAAGTCAAGTCAACGGTCGGTCGAGGTCGAGGTCGAGGTCCAGGTACAGGTCCAGGTCCCAGCTGAGTGAGCCACTGAGTTTTGCCTGATCTAGCAGGCCGTATGTATAGTATAATCTTTGACGACGAGGTATGTACAGTATTTGCTTGGTTGCAGATCTCGACAGTAGCAACGGTAGAGATCCAACTGATGTGCTCATCTCGATCAGGTACATGCTAGCTACTCTCTACTCTCTTGTTACTGTATGTAACTACTGTGCTTGAAAGCTTGAAGAGTCATGGCCCCAGTTGGTGGCTGTTGGCCGTTGTGACGGCTTCGGCCTAGACTCGGCCGTGTGTGTGCGCGTGTGCGTAAATATAACTCGACTCAACTGTTGTCTTGAGGAAACGGGTTTCTGGGCTATTGAAAAGTATAAAAGATCATCCATGGAAAAAGAAGGAGGGGAAGAGGAAGAGGAAGAGGAAGAGGGAGAGGGAGAAAGAAGACAAGGTGACGTCGCCGCATTGAACATCTCGGCAGTTGTGATGTTTGCTGCTATAGAAATGTCCACTATTGCAGTATCATCAACAGAGACTCTACGTTAAATCAGGTCCATTCTCCCAAATTAAACAAAACAAGGCAAACCAAACCAAACCAAACCAAACCCAAGTTCTCTTGTCTGTTCTGTTCTGTTCTCCTTCTTTGAACACTACATGCATACACCAAATGCTAGATCAGATAGAGACCCTTATTAACCCACCTCCATGCAACGTCAAAATGCAAGGGATCAAACCCTCACATCTCATCACAACACGTCCAACGTTAGCACGCAACCAACTGAACTGAACTGACTAACAACCGATATCTGTCACCGAAAACGAAAACGCCCTTGGTGTAAAACCACGAGGCCCTTTAGCTTGTCACGTTCCTAAGTGGCTTGGCCAACTTTCTTGTCTTTGAACTCAGCTACCTACCTTACCTAGGCGGGCGTATACTATCCTCCCTTGCATATGCCTGTCTGTCTACGGTACTCTACTCGAAGCCCATGATTCAACCCCTCGTGCTCACCATGCTAGCGACATACCTGTACCGACTCCATGCCCCCATACAATATCTCATCCCAGAGAACCCCCGGGTGAAGTATAAGTATGTTAGGCTGAGGGAGGCAGAGACAAGACCGTGAACTAGACCCGGAGACCTTGGGGGGGGGGGGGGGAAGGACCCTTGCTTCTTTCTCTCCTCTCGGGTGGGAATTCCACGTGGCGGGCGGCGGTCCTATTCCCGTTTTGCAACTTGGCTTTGTCTCTCTGGAATGTCGGCGGTTGAAAAGCATCGAGTATGAGCCAAGAATGACGACCAAATAGGGTTGAAACGATATCTTTTAGAGTTTGTTTTCATAGGTAGGTAAATAAATAAATAAATAAATAACTCATCTCAGCTCAGCTCAGCTCAACTCAAGCCCATCACGATCTAACAAGTACGCTCACTTCTCCTTCCAAAGACGTCCTAGCAGCTTGAACGAGAGGTGGTGATGGAGGAGGAGTCTTTGAGTATCTATCCGTCTTGGACCTCTGCCTCTCCCGTGGCGTCATGTCTGAGGCCTTCTATGCCCGAATCACCAGAAGGTGTTGTGGATAACAGGCCTAGCTGAATGTCAAATCACTCCATTCTATATGCCATACAGTACAGCACTGCACTGCCACTGTAGATATGTACATTACAGTCTGGAAAACTTGCTCAGTAAAGAGACATGTGTATGTATGTATGTATGTATGTATGCATTACTGTAGGTCTCACGGTAATGCACAACACACATGGTTTGGCATGCCACCCGTCAGAGCCTCACTGAAGGACGATAATTTCTAGACCAGATCCTAGATCCTCCATGGAAAAGAAAGCCACATGGATACTTACATGACAGCCTCCGTACATGTAATAGCCATGTAACGCAACATCAGAGAATCCAGCCAAGCACTTGCAGACACGCGGCATAGCAGCTGAGCCCTCTTATCCTGCTCTCGCCCGTGTCACCTTCACCGTGCATGTCACAGCCATTGTGATACCGGAGAGCAAGGGAGAGTTTCTCACCCACGTCTCACATCCCTCCCTCCCCTCCTCTCTCTCTCTCTCTCTCTCTCTCTCTCCCTCCCCCTCGCTACCACAGACTGCATGCTATATAATCCTTCCTGTGCTCCTGTCCTACCGTTCAACTCACCATATAACAGGGGAGGACCAGGGAAGATCTTGGAAAGACGTGCAGATCGCGTGCTTGCAGCCATGTTTCTGATCAAGTATCACAAGAAACAGCGCATACGAGGCCTTGTGGAATCCTTTCGCATTGGACATCCGTCTGGTGGATTTTGTTCGGGCTTTTGGTGGTTCAGGCATCAAGACATATTCATGTATGTCTGGTCTGGAGGATGCCTTTGCAATCGCATGCAGGCAGATCTTTCGATGTATTGTTGCACATAAAAATGTATCTGATATTACTGATACTGTGCTTGGGGTTTGCCACGGCCCATACGTGCGTGTAGCGGATGCAGAACCTAGCGTAGGTAGGGAGTTGATAGGAAATTTATATCGGACGGATAACTAACACTCACACGTACACTGCCCCAGATCTCATAATGTCTTTAGGATGGCAACTTCTTTCTCGATGCTCTCGTCTTATCTTGCAAGTCTCGTCTTGTCTCGTCTCGTCTGTATTGTCTTGTACTACGTAGCCTATCCAGAAACTCAAATCCACAACACCATCACCAACAACTCAGAAGCACATGTACATGCACGCACGTTCCCGTGTCCGATGAGTTCAAGCAAGCTACCCGTTCGTCAGATCTCCCGCTCGTGCCTTGATTAGCCTCCCGTCCCGTTCTCGTCTCCCATGTCCTACCCCCTATTGTTCTGTGTAACTCAGCCTGTCGAACCACTTGCTATGACACTAATCCCTCCAAAGCGCATTGTCTTGTTGGCTTCTGTTTTAAAAGTCACTTCCCGTATAGATGAGCTGGCACCCGCTATTCCCGTCTCGTAGTCCTTATGGGGAATAGATGATTTCGAAATGGGTAGAGAAACGATTTGCTTCACACACTCGATTCAGCACATACTGACAACCTGGGTTGTCTTGTCTTGTCTCTATGTCTGTTTGTTTGTTGTAACTGCAATGCGCCCACTTCTTGGTCTTCTTCTTCTAAACACTAATATCGCAAGACACTGTAGATCAATGCAAGGCCGAGATATCATCATGTACTCCTAACCCCACCAAGGCAAATGATCGCCCCTCATCTCCAGAAATGGCTAATTAAGCTTCGCCAATCTTTCGATAGTCTCGATGCCCAAGTGGCAAATACTTCCGGCCCTGCAGCCGCTGTTTTCTATTGGGCTGCGTCAAGTTGATACTCAAGCTCACATTCACACTCGCAGACTGTCACGGGGATATGTGCACTTTCAAGTTCGGCGTAGTTGATCGCTTTGTGATTTCTCCTTTACCGCCATAAACATCTCCTTTGTTGTAGACCCCGCCCCCTCCTAGCCTTGTTGGCGTTGCTTTCCACGAAAGAACTAGAAACATGTCCTCGGTACCTTCAATTTACTCCTCTTCATGCCAAGTCATCTTCCAGCTTGGATACATGCCGTAAAACCATTGTAATTTTCCTCCCAGGATAACCAATCCCACCCTATATAAAAAATTCCTATCTCCTGCGTAGGAGCAAGGCCAAAATACACATCCGTTGCTGATGTTGCGATGATTGCTCTCCGCTGCCCTCCGCCCATCCCAGTAATTTCTCCAAGAAATCTCTTTTGTCTAGAAAGTCAACCCTCTCTCCTCCCATGAACTCAAAAAGTTACACCATGTTAAACATGGCGTCCATAATTAGACAAACGCCTGTTATGCTGCGGGTCCCTGCTCAAAGCCCAAGGTTTCCCAGTTGTAAAAACGTATATACAGAGAACGATGCAAAGACGCCGTTCTGTTGGATCGGGTATTATTAAACGTGAAGATGTGTGCGTGTGCGTGTATGTGTGAGGCGACTGTGTATGTGTAGACATGCGGGTTGCGAGCTGAAGTTGAAGTCATTCATGGGACAACCGAGCACCTATCCACAATGCATTCAAGCGTCCATGAGCACTTCGTAGTATGGCCAAAACCATCAAGCCAAGGCCTCATTGTCGATGAGCCTCATCTTTAGGACGAATCGACCTCTGCTCGAGTTGGCGTTTTCTTTCCAGTTTGGCGTAATGCAACCCGCAGGCGTTGCAGAGAGTCCGGGCTCCATCAGGTCCACGTCGCCATTCAGGGGTGTCGATTCGATTGCAACTGTGGCATCGTCCAGGAGGAGCAGCACGCTGTCCATCATTAGTTTCGTGTTGAAGAAATCAATCAGGGCCAGAAACTTACACCTCGACGCTTTTTAACTTCCGTCATGCCATATGCTGGCTTCATTCCATCGCCGTACATGTTCACGTCGTGCTCTTCCTCATAAGGCCCCTTCATCTTGGATCCTTCTCGGGCTCGTTCGTTCTGGATCGAAGTTTGCACCAAGTCACGCACTTGCTCCAGTGATCTCTTGACAAGTTCGATATTGCTGAGCATATCGCTAACTTCTCGTTCGGTAGGCAGTCGAGCTGGGATTGGGTGAGCTCCGTGCTGTTCTTGGGCGATTCTGCTGTAAGCTTCGGCAAAATTAAAAATCGTACGAGACGAGGTGCCGATCTGTCAAAAGTCAGCGCTTTGTGTTCTTGGTGAAACATGTAACTCAGGTGACTTACTCGACTCAACGAGTCTTGATAGTTCCAGCTTTCGTAGTGCCTGTCAACTGTAGCCTCGTATCTGGCTCGGGCATATTCAGGGTCGTCCATGTGGGGAGGCGCCCTGGGATCGTAAGATCCGGGAATATGTGGTGGCATTCCGTGTCTAGGGGAAATAGGATACGCAGGCAGGGGCATTTGGCCTGGAGGCAGCTGGCCAGGCTGATATGCGACAGGAGCAGGAGCAGGAGGAGGAGGAGGATGAGGATGAGCGTAGGCACCATTGAGTGGGTGGTGAGGTTCAGGAAGCTTCTGCTCGGGATGGTGGTGGTGGTGTGGAGGTAGATCAGCTTTGGCTGAAGGACTCTGGCGACGGTCAGAGACAGGAGGGAGCGATGGTCGGTTGTTGAAATGAGGACGAGGAGAGTCCGTAAAGGCAGGTCCATCTTGCCGAGGAAAAGATGAGGTCGGGTGGAGAGGTTGAGGAGACGAACGCTTCTCAGCCTCTGGGAATGATCGAGGAGCTGGTGCGAAGGGCGACGGCAAACTCGAACCTGACTGCAGACCCGGCGCATGTGCAACAGGATAAGCTCCAGGTTTAGTGCCCTGGATGACCTCCGAGATTGAGGGCAGCGACTGGCGATTTGAGGGCTCCTGATCGTCGGCTGGTTTTCGCGGTTCAGAAATCATGTTGGCGATACTGGCGGCACCAGAGCTGGGTTGTGAATAACTGGAGAAAGGCGGTTGAGGTTGAGGTGGGTAGTGGGCGGCCGGTGTGATGAGGGTTGCCGTTGCCATGGCGGAAGGTTCTCGATACGACCTGTCCAACAAGATATCCTGCGAGTAGGAATGGTGATGGCGATGATCGGAGTATGGTTGATCGGGCTGAGGTGGGTGGTGTATCTGGTGTTCTGAAATGGTTGCAGAGTGACGGCTGTAAGGACAAGAAATGGGTTAATATGGGAGGGGCAGACAGAAATATGAATACTTTCAAGTTGGGATTTCAAACAGACCTTTGCCTGGCTCCAGAGTCAGCCGCTTCCATAGCGGATCTGGTAATTACTAACGATGATTTGGGACAGTTTTAAGGCCGTAGATGCATCTGACCTGGCTAGATCCGATTGGGGGTGTATGTGATGGACGAGGAAAAAGAGCAGTACGAATAAACGGGGAGGGGGGTGGTAAAGAATGAGGTTCCAGTAGTAAAAGAACTGAAGGAAGTCAGGAATGGGTCAACACGGGACCAGGGTGGGAGATGTGACAATGGACTCAGGTGAGGGTTGGCAATGGGGTGTCAAAACGGGGAGGGGGCCGATGAGGCGAAATGAAAAGAGGCGAAGAGAGAAACAAATAGTAGGTACCAGGCTAGGCACAAGGGGGTGGGTAGATCTGGCGTGTGCGATGGACAAGCGACAAGGGCCCTCGTGGTGGCGCTGAGCGGGACAGTAGCAGGGGGGTTCCGCCATACATAGAGGTCCTGTCCTGGTTCGGGTTGGGTTTGTTCTGGCCGACCGACAGGGGCTTGCTTGAGTTGGCTTGGGTCGTTCAAAGGCTGGCAGGGGAAGCGCCAAACTCAGGATTCCTCAGGAGTGGGAACGAGCTTGATCTAAGAACGACGATACTACTGCTGCTGCTGCTGATGGTACTCCTCTAAAGAGTAGGGCGAGAATCAGAGTAGCGCAAACTCAAGGAGGTCGATTGCCGCGAAACTGATCCAACGGCCGGGGTCTGGGAACGTAGCGCTCCGAATGAGGAGAGAGAGAATGGACGGGTGGAGCTAAGAAACCGCGCACTGGATTGCACCCGTTGACAGCGATGTCGAAGCTAGCAACTTGACTGCGGAAATGCTCAATCGATGAACTTTGTAGTAAATACTGGCTCGACACGACCTTGAGCCACGGCTGGTACACGGCTTGAGATGGAGTCGAAGTCGGGTGTTAGTATGTGTCGGAGCGGTTGATCAGATCCAGTACTGAAATTTGCGATTTGGCCACAGTTGATGCAGATGCGTGCGGTAGCGTTCGTGGCTGTATATCCCAATGTTTTGTTGTTGTTTTTACCTAGGTAGTCTTGATATCTGGATTTCGATGTTTTCCTCTTTTTTTTCTTCCGTCTCCTCTGAGCTGGCTACTCTGTCCTGTGCAAGCAACTAGACAGGGATTGGTTGACTCGCAAAAGAAGGTACAATATTGTACAGAGACACAGAGCCGGGCAGCGACGAGCCACTAGGATGGCGGGCAAGGACAAATCCTGCTGCTGCGGACAGTGGTCTCTCTGCAGGCGCTTGAGTCAGCACAGGGACACAGAAAAGGACAGTACAGTACAAACGCTGTGGATGAGAGTCGAAAGTAGAGGGAGGGAGGACCGAAGATCGAGGTTTAGAAGAGAAGAGCCAGCTACTAATCTATTTGTTGCTGCGGGAATGTGGAGGTGGGAAAAGGTTGGGGAAGAGGGAGATGTTGAAACACGAAGGGCACGAACGGAGGAGGAAAGAGAAAGGAAGGAAGGGAAGAAGACTGCGTACGGACAGTCTCGAGGGAGTGCAAGGTATAGTTCCCAAGCAGTACAACCTTCTGGGAATCACCAACAGCGCACTACGAGGAGATCAGATGTGAGATCGGCGCCTCCATTGTCATCATTTTACCGCCGGAAAATAGCTGGCCTGGGAGAAGCAAGCAACAACCTAATCCAGTCCTGCACGCCCGGAAGCAAGCAAGCAAGCATAACCTATACTGTACATGAGACCCAGCTCGCGCCTGGCACCGGGGGGATAGATCAATTCCGACGTCGATGCATCCATAGTTCAAAGCACTCGCATGTGTATTGGGGAGCGCAACAACCATTTCTGCAACATGCAATAGGCACAGTACAATATAGTACACCAACCTCCAACCAGGGGAGCTTTCGAGTCTGTCAGTTTCCTCAGTGCATGGATCGACCGGTACGGTACCAGGGGCCTGCGGCGCGGTTATTTGTCAGAGATCCTTATCCAGATCACCCGATCAAAATACGGCAATGCTCCTTGCCAAATCAACGACGACCTCTTTGCATATAACTATCGTTATGAGAAACCATCATCTGGGTGGTTCGTACTAGAATTGTCAATGTCATCTCTGAAACCATGGCCCGAGCAAGACATCGAACGTCACAAACAAATCGATCAGCAAGTGCGCCTCAGCAAGCTTTCATGCTGCGGCGTTGAGTTGTGACGCCTGGGGGAAACGGTCGCGGGTAGGGATACCGCCCACGCGACAGGGATTTCAAGTTCGCTTCCACTGGCTAGGGGACACGATGGCATGACGGTTTACGATATGGTATGGGTGGGGAGAGGAGAGCGGTAGGGATCCGAAGAGAATCGATCATGGATGTGTGGGGCTCGGAAGAACAAACAAGGATCAGTGACCGATGAAGCAGACAAGGGCAAAGAGAAGGCCATGTTGCCCTAGGGCTGGGCTGGGTATGGTATCTCATCTATAGCAAGATCTCGGGGAACTTGCATCTCTTCACATGCTATGTTCATCATCAGTATGCATCCTTTAGGATTCCGTATTCATCAGCCATCACTGCGCCGCCGCCGCCGTCGTCGTCGCTTTCGCTGAGGCTCTAGAGCAAAAGGTGAGAGTCGAAGAAAAGTCGAGACACTGGTGGACTTTTCATCGTTACCGTCGATTCAAACACTGACCCAGGCTTTGCACCAATTGCTGGGGCATGACGATAGCCCGGTGCAGTAGCGTCTAGGCTTTGGAGATCTCCAATCTCAAGTTCTGCAAAATGGTACGACTTCCGGGGGCCCTTGCTCCTGGGGTGAGCAGCGGTCTGGTTTTAGTAGCCCACAAACAACACAGGGAGACCCCCCCGGACCACACCACTCAATACCACTCAAATGTGTGCTTATGATTTTTTATGAAGCTCCCACCTGGGCAACAAACCATCTTTATTCGGGTCCTTCTTTCCAGTGTCGTATCGCGATGATTCAATAGTGAGGGCGAAATCAAACGAGCTAGTTACTGCTGGGAGATTATAACCCGGCACTGACATTTCTCTGAGAGAAAGGAAAATGAGCACATTGGAAGAAGATCCCTAGCTGGGAGGCCTTGTAAGAGTGGTTTGCAGTGAGTGTTACTGTTGAAACTTAGCATTCTCTGACTGAGATGGAAACCTATCTCCCATCGACACATCACATTTCGATTCAGCACAGGTCCCCTGCCAACTGTATTACACAGTTGTATTGTCCCCCATCCCCTGCCGCAATGCGCTAAGGGCGTGGGAGCTAGGAGTGCAGCGCTAAAATGAGAGAAATAGGGGCAAAGCGCGAGAAACATTACAAATGACGGCTCAGATGGAAGATGCGCGAGATTGACATATGGCAAGGTGTCGATGACGCTGAGGAGCAACGGGCAAGCTGGGTGACACTGCAAACCTCATTGCGCGGATCTAGGAACGATGGGATGAGCAGCGATAGTTATGGTGATTTTGCCAACGAGGACATAGTAAAAGCATTGATGCCAAGCCGCTTCATCGAGCCCTCAGAGCAATGACGAACTGATGAATGTTGGACAATGGACGATGCGCGAGATGGGCCGCTTCCCATACTCAGATTGGGTGCCACATTGTATGGGCGGCACCGCAGCCAGGTACGTCAGTGGGCAAGGACCAGGCCGTCAGCATCTTATGCCCACCTGGCTAAGGAACAGGAGGTCTCACTTGGAACCCGTCGAACTGACATGGAAGAAACTTTGTCGAGCTACCCAGACTGCACTTGATCCGAGCCCAGCACGTGTACCTCACAGGTAGTTCTTTATGAGAAAACCTAATCCGAACGGCCCCCGCGGCTCCGCAGGGATGGTCCATCCGCCACCACGCGAAGTTGTCGACTGGGCGCCGCTCTGGCGGATACACATTACCCAAGTAGCAGAGAAGAGCAGAGATGGCCTGGGGACCTAATCTCACAAGATCAGACACGGCCTCGATTAGTGCGCCGCCATGATGAACGTGTGGTGGGCATGTCGCCACTCCACTCTCCCGGCAAGCCAAGATGAGATGAATACGTAGAGTCCATGCTTGCGCTTCATCAGTACTAACATACGTACTAACGTAATGGAAGATGCTTCCATTGGACCATCCAATACGTATCGCCCAACGACAACCCGTCATGTTTCAGCCGATAATTGATCGTAGATGGCTTTTGGTCGATAAATTTGACGAGATAACGATGTAACCCTCAGTAATGGCATGCCCTATGCATAGACTGTAAGTGAAGACGAATTCCAGACCGTGCCACGCCAAATCATGTCAAAGCCAGTCTATCGTGTAATACCAACTTTAGTTCTCTCCTACTGTTGAATAACCTGGCGATGGTATTCGTCGACCTTGAGAATAAGGCTTACCCGCCTCAGATCATGAAACTTCAGGTCAAGCAGAAGATCGTATCACTAGCCTGCCCCTCAAAACAAATCCTGCGGAAGACATAAGAGATACTAGCGCAACGCGGTATAATAAGTGTGTTGTGCATCACTGTACATCATATCGTCGTATCCCGGTTGCCCGATCCATTCTCACCCCAGCATCATCCAAGTGGTCCATCGCGCATTCTCATGTAATCTCCGCCGACCCATTCTCATTCTCACTGTCCTTCCAGAACAGCATACAAAATAGGAAAGGCTAGTGTGCCCTCAAGTCACTGTTCCTGTGAAGCTTTGGGCTTCGACGCATGTCAAAGCTCGGTTTGATGCTTCATTTGCCTGGCGATGAGCCTTGTTGCTCTATCGTCTTGGCTGTGACCCCCAGATGTGACCTTGCAATCACAAAGACCCTGACGGAATCATGATCTGCACGAGCTCGTGCCATTAATGTGGTAGAGGTGAGACCAATGTCGCATATGAAAAGAACCTGTTATGTAGAACAACATGGCAGAAGGGGTTGTTTAAAGCACTGGCCTTTTCTTGACGTCGATGAATTGCTTAATCTCCTCCGCCAGGGTCCTGTTCCTTGGGAACACGCGAATTTACCTCCATGCACTGCTAGGATGGCAGATGTTGCTCCCACGACATGGGTCTCCCTGCTAGTGACCACCATATGGTAAACATCCCCATTGAGAGAGATATCATTCACGATGATGTTTCCAATCACTTGGGACTGCATCGGCGGTGCCGCTGGATAGTCAATTGCGTGTGCCTTGTCTTGTCATGAGCTTAGCGAGCCAGCCGAGGGCCTTGTCTAGTTATTCGTCACCCCGCCATTTCTCCAAACTGTTTTTCCCCCTTCATTGTCAATGAGTGTAAACACGTTTTTAAGATATCTATATCCCCCATGGCCTGGCCAGAAACCGCCGTTTCGCGCGAGCTAATTCATATAGGTGAGTAGTATGTATTAGTAGGGGAAGCTCGTCATAACCGATCTTGCCCAGGCGCCGAGAAGGCGGTGACTTTGGTGGGCTATCAGGTGTATGCAATTCCATTGAATGCTCCCGGTTTCATATGTATATAGTGAAGAACATATCACGAAAATTACAAGGACCCTCCTGCCTGGAACCTGACCTCAAGTACTTTTGGCATTGAGTAGTTTTCGATTCATCCAGTCAACATTCTGGTAAGTTGCTCTCCGAATCGCCTACTATTGTTAGCTACATATGATGGCGTTAGATATCTTGCAGCTCGCCTGTTAACTACTGCAGTGCTACGGCGTTACGTTGCTCAATGATGAGACTAGCACGACTCGGAGAATTCTGCCAATGCAGTACCAACACATACTAACGTACGTCCTGTGCTTGTGCCATCAGCAATTGCGTTTCTAGCCGAGCCTGCTCAGGGATGCCTTATTGATGTTACTCACCGGAAAACTCTGCCATGCAATCGGATTCAATCGGTAAAAGGGCTACCTATGCCTGGTACAGCGTGTGCCTACCTATGTCGGGGCGGAAATGGAATGCTTCTAGCCATTCTAGCCTTCTTCCTCTGCACCACTGAGGTGGAATCCAACCCAACGGTGTAACTTAGTACCAAAATTACTGTACTGTACCGTACCCAAGCTACCAAGGTAGGCAGCTGAGACGCCCAAATCGCAGGGCTGTCTGCTGGGAAGAAGAGGCCTGCCGAGAACTGGAGTAGTCCACTTATCTACGGAGTACCGATGGAACCGATAGAAGCCCCAATTGCTTCCATTCTTCGAACGGCAGTCAGCTCCTAATCTGTCCAATCTGGCCTAGCTTGATTGACCTCCAACATTAAATCGACCCACCAAGATCAAAAGAGCACGATGCAAGCCTCGAGATGCTGGGTTTCGTGCAGGAACATGAGTTTTCATCTTTAATCTCCTCCTTGCCTTTTTCCGTACCCACCCCTCCATAGTAAATCCCGAAGCTTTCTCGAAATCATCTGGCGGCACAGTCCATCATTGTTCCCGAGTCATACGTTTTCTTGCCATATTGCGATTCGACCCGACCTATTCCCCGGGTCATGATGTTTTCTCTGCCACGTCCAATACCGTACTCTCTCTATATGCCCGCCCAATCTGCAAGCATTTGCCTGTTGGTGGATCTATTCGATCGTCTGGGCACTATACAGTAGCTGTACCACCTGCCTTCCATGTTCAAAGGCCCTGGATACAGCGAATCGGATAGCAATTTGTCTCTGTATTTCACAGTAAGAAAGCATGGCGACTGCTTGGCGAACATCGGATCCGTATACTCCTTGTGCCTTGTATACCAGCCGCACGGGTTCGATGGCCAATACGAGAATTCCTCGGCTTGTTTATGGTGTTACACTTGTTCAAAACGGCCAATATCTTGCCCATCATCACAAGAGCAGCAATATGCACTTGGGGGCTCGGACACTTTCAACCTAGGGTGCCGCCCAATGAGACGACAGGACATGGGCTTGTGCTTCCGTCATGCTGTCCTCTCCGCTGTATACAGAACTGTCATTAACGGTCGTCTCCCCTCCTCGGCTCGTAGCCCAAGGGTTCCTATTTTCGTTGAAGACTTGACTACTGTTCGGTCTGCCCGAATTCGTGAGATGAGAGGCGCCTCAGACAGCCGAGCTTTCTATTCATGTGATACTCGGCCTTTCAACATGCCCTTGAAAGGCATTAGTATGCACAACCTGGCTTTCCACAGAATACCTCGACATGAGTGAGGTACAGAGCAAATTTTTCCAATGTAAGAAACATTCAGCGAATTGCTGGCCCCTACCTGCATGTCGAGTCAGGGGTGTCAAGTTCGGGAATAGCAGACATGAACTAGAATAGGGTGCCCAGGGTCATGCATGCATGCATGCTTCGCCGGGCTGAAGAAAAAGAAATGTGCCCGACTTGTACGACTCCCACATTTTACAATCGGCAAAAGCACAATTTTATTATCTTTCTTTTGTTCCAGCAACGCGGGCACCCTCGTCTGTTACAGATCCTCGTGGGCCATATGTGTATCAGACTTACAGTGTTTATATCGGGTAAAATATCGCGGGTAGATATCTCCGGCAAACTTTGTTCCTACCACAAGACTTGCCATACCGGCATTGATCCGCCAAAACACACCAACCCAACGCAGTTACGCCGCCCTCCTTCGCTTCGAGCTCGCGGCGTTAGACCAGAAGAGAAAGTTCCAACGGCCGGGATCTAACGCTAGAGACAAATCGTCGATTCAAATGTGCCGAGATGGTCCAATCTGGGTGGTCAGCCAATGGTCAAGTAACGGTTAGTCGATTGCTACTGGCTAGAGGCTTGGTAGGCCCGGCCTGCGTGAAGATGCTGTGCGGCGCTGAGCTGTGACTGTGCGACGCAGGACGGTAGCCAATGTCGTCAGGGGCTAGATCTCGAACACTGTGGCTATCCCCGGCGCCGAAGGGATATCTAATTCCTGTGGAAGCGATCATGAGATCCCCACGATGCGGCGTCGTGCACGGTTGGAGGTAGGGACCAATTCGAGCCATTGGCAGCCCTTCTTCGCCCACCATCAGCCTCAATTGCGTGTCTTTGAGTTGCTACTAAGCTTTCCTTGGACAAGCCACCACACGCTGGATTGAGAATCGGATTGGGCTCTGTGGGCCGGCACAGCTCGATCTCACACCGTGGCAGGCTAGGGAGACTAGAAGCCTAGAACATCGTCTACTGCAGCGAAGGCTTGCGAGGTGGTCTGATGTCGATCACTCTGTGGGACTACGGTACGTACAGTGACTATTACGCGGTAGTTGATGAAGGCAAGCTTAATCCTTGAGCATTAATGTGGCCATCCAGCCTCCCCAGAGGTGACGCCCCTAGCCCACAGGCTCGCCGCCTACACATGACAATGCAGTTGTACCAAACAGCCATTGTTATTGCATTCATTGCATATGATAAAGAGACAACAGGCGAGGTTCTTGGGGACGGGGGTGCGCGGCTGATCAGGTTGAAATACATCAGCATTGCTGTTACACAGCCAGCTCATCAGACACTTATGGATTCTTACACGTTTATGAGCCCTGAGTCACTGACTGGCATTGGGTTTAATTCCCTTCAAAGGTACAGTACCTAACGACGAGAACAATCCTTTCAAGACTTGCAGACAATACTGTAGTCCCGGTCGGTGAGAGTAGCTGGGGGGCGTTTTCTGTGATGCCATCTTGATTCACGCCTCCCGTCACGCCGGACGGTAGCAGGTACTAAGGTGCCATCTATCTACTACTACCAAGACTAAGGATTGCGGGCGCGTTTCCGCACACTACACCAGATCAGATGCGCCCGTCTCAGCTCGGTCTACGTACATTCGGATACTAATATTAATAAATAGTTTGATTTCTTTAGACGGACGGGACACGCTGCAAGATCCAGGTATCTCGATCCGCTATACCCCGAGGTATCGTATCGGCCGATGTTATCCTGCAACCTTCACCCTTTTGTCGTGACGTTGTGCTGACCACTGCGGGTACTTTGTCCCGCAGTGTTGGCACCACCCAAAGAAACCAAAGTCGCCAGATCGAATGGTTTAACTGGAGTGGACTATAGCCCCCGGTGAGCAAGTTTCCCATGGTGTTGCATCGGTCACTGCCCGTTTCCTGTTCTGGTATTCAGGTGCCGTATGCGTCTGCACAATCTGTACAGAGCACTACATTGGAGAACAGCCCCCTTTGCCTTGTGAGGTCTCACCTTCGGGGGTTTTCTTTTTCTTGTTGCTTTCTGGGTGGTTTATCTGATGACTGGTAACCAATGACCTCCTTGAAGGTGGATCTGGAAGCTTAACGGTACCGGGGGG